GAGAACCCCTTCACATCGGGTCTAGAACCACAGGAACTGAAACCCCAGACAGCTGTAGTTCAGAGGCCCTGTGCATGCAGGGATGCTCCGCCCCTCCTGGGGTTTGCGGAGAGTCTGTCCCCACCAAAGCTTGTGCTGAGACTTCACACTCCATGGAACCGTCTCAGGTGGTGGGGCCGCACAGGACATTCAGGGTCACCAGGGACCTGGCCTTCCCGATGGAGTAAGGCCTTTTTCAAGTGACTGGATTAGCTCTCTTGAGAGTAGATTCCATTCCTGTGCCTGGATTAGTTACCATGAGAGCAGGAGGTCATGAAGTGAGTTTGGCTTCCTCAGATCTTTCTCTCACTTCCTCTGCCACCCTGTGATGCACCCCCATGAACATTCCCACTGAAGGCCACCCATGGTGTTGTGATGGTCCTGAGGCCCTCACCAGAGACTGAATAGGTGGAGCCTTCGCCCCTTAATTTTGGCCTCCAAAACCGAGAGCTCTATAAACCTCTTTACTTTATTATGTATCCAGCTCAGGTTTTTTTGTTATAGTGACAGAAAATGGCCTGAGAGAGCAGCAATAGAAAACTAATGCAGGACATTTTAATTAAGGAAGATATTTCTGTTAGCATATTAAATCCATATCCAAATGTTATTTCAATGTGTGATAAATATGTAAAATTTTAATGAGTGAGATACTGTATACTCCTTTTTTCCATCTAGGTCTTCAAATGCTGGTGTGCATTTTAAACTTACAAAACATTCTGATTTGGACTGGACTCATCTCAAGCACTCAAAAGCTACTTGTGGCTGGTGATGACCCTGTCAGACAGCACGGGAGAGACATGTAGTGGGCTCCCGTGTGCCTGCATCACCTGCCCCCATCTTCTCTGAGCCTAGCACGGGCAGACGCTCACAGGAATCTGTGATTCCTGACCATACAAATGGGGAGCAGTCACCAAGCATCCCCTCATCACTACCATGACCTTCCTCCCCACAAGCAGGTGAGGAATCTGAGGTCCAAAGGCATGAGGCCCTGGGCCCCAATGCCAGCCTGTGAACCCCTACCTGTCTACCCAGGAGCCTGTAGGGTATCCCAGCCAGAGCCCCAACTCCCAAAGTCCCCCACATAGCCAGGTGAGACTAGAGAGACTGTAAGGATCCTAAACAGACTTCCATGAAACAAAGTGACATCCCAACTTCTCCATTCCTATCTCCACCTTCCTCTCCTAAAGGCCAACCCACCTTCCACCAAGGCCTTGCCTGCTCCAAGTGCCTTAACTGCAACTGGGTTACAGAAGGTGGCTTCTGAGAACCTGCACTCGAGGGCAGACTGTCGCAGATGTTCACATTCAGTGGGACCTTGGCCCACCACATCCTCGTCACCTCAGAAACCATTGTGTTGCCACCTCATTTCACAGAAAGTAAAACCGGGGCCCGAAGCAGCAGCTTTCCAGGATACAGTTGACATCACCTGCCATATTCATTCTAGAATCTTCTGCAGAGCATGGCTTCTTCTGGAGCTGCAGAAATGGAGCTCACCTGCCATCCACCCTCCATACATTAGTGACGTATCCTGGATGTCGTGCGTGAGGTGAGCAGGCCAACCCCCTCCTACAGCTCCAACCTTTTGCCACCAAGCAAGGTTCATAGCCCAGCTTCCATTGTGACCTGGGCCAGGGTCCCCAGCCCTTGTGCCCCAGGACTGTCAACACTGGTGAACAGAAGAGACCACCACGCTGTGATGGGATGGGGAGACATGGAGATGGTGTTCCTCTGTCCATCTGAGAAAAGGTCCAGCCTGTGAGGTGCGCCAGCCAGCTGCTGGGCCGTGTCCCTGCACCCACGTCACATGTCCCCCACCTGTCCCCAGTGATGTGGCAGCCTGGTCCCTTTGGTTCTTAGGCCCTCTGGGAATTCATTCACTCACTCATCCATTCCTCTCACATCAGCCCAAAGTCTCCCAAATGCCCACACCCAGTACCATCATCCTTCCATCTTTCCTCCTCCCTTGGGTCCCGAACATGAACATATTCTGTTGTCACATTGTTCAGGAGTCCTTCAAGGTTTAAAGAGATTTTTAAGCTTCTCCAAATTAAGGTGAATACAGAGGGTTTATCCTTAAAATCTTATATTCTGATGACTATGTGATTATGTCAAGAAAACTTTAAAAATTGAAAGAAAGAAATCAATGAACCTTCTGAAAAATTAGCATCATTTTATATGCTTGTATGAATAGGATAAACTCTTATTCATCCATCAAAACCCTACCTAGACATGACTTGCTGAAAGAAGCCTTTCCCATAAGTAACATTTACCCCTTGTTGAACAGTGGGTTATTAGGCATATTCCCCTGATGTTTAACTGTCAATTTATTTATCCACCTTCTCCAAGTACTTGTTCTAGATTGGGAATATTTTTTTAAGTTCATGTAACCAATTAGTTTTCTTCATGTAGTCAAGATAAACAAGATGTCAAACTATAACCAGAAGCTAATGCACAGTTTTCTGAGACCTGGATACACCAAAAGCTGTCAAAGTAGCTCCTTGAGTCCCTGCAGGCAGAAGTGCATGGAAAGGCTAGCCTCAATCAGAAGGTTGATCTGTGGATACAAGTCAGGTTGGGAGTTTGATGATTCATATGTCAAATGGCGTGTCTCCTTTTGGGAGTGGCACTCTTGCCAATGGGAGCAACTACACTATAGCACAATATTACCCAAGATTAATGTCACCGTAAGCCACCTGCATCTCCAGATTTTGAGTGGCCTACTATGAGGGTCCAAAAAACTCCTATTCATCCTTCAAAACTCAAAGTCCAAACAAAGGCTCAAAATGTGCCTCTGCTTCACAGCATGTTGTTCCCACAGCAGTTTGTTGTCCTCTTCATCTGGGATTCTTCTTTGGATCCCTGAATCTGTGTGCATCTGTGACTCTGCTAATTTGAACTAACATGGCATGACTTTGCTTCTTGATTGGGAATATTCTTGGGCAGGGTGACCTGCAATGTTAGTGACCACCAGGCCCAAGGCCGGGTCCTAAGCTTACATCCATGAGTCCCTCAGCTCCCCAAGGCTGTTCTCATCTGAAGAATGGGACCATTCTGCCCCAGACGGGCTGCCTGAGCAACAAGATGAAAGGATCTTAGTGAGAAAGGGCCAAGAGTCTGTCTCAGCTCCCAGCAGTGCTATTACATAGCTCTTCAGGCAAACACATAGCAGGAGCTGAGTGCATTTGTTTGTTGAGCTGAATAAAAAAGTTTGCATTCCCTGCCATTGCATGTGTTCTCGGTCCCTGTTGAGGAGTGGGACCAAGTCTCAGAGCTGTCCCAGGGAGGCAAACCTCCCACTGCTCCCTGCCGTACCTGGCACTAAACTCCAATGCGTCCATGGGCACTTCTGTGGGGTGGTCACACTCTTGTGCCCACTCCTCCACCAAGGAAACTAAGGCTCAGACAGGGTCACCGCCTGCCCCCGAGACAGAGCAACCCCAGCCATCTCTCCACTTGGGTTCCGGAGCCAACAGCAGAATAGCTGTGGGAATGACTTTCCACTGGTACCCTTGCTCCTGAGATGCAGAACTGCTGGGCATTGCTAAGCTTGCTCCCCAACTCGGTGTCAGTCTAGGAGCTTCTGTGCATGGGCTATTAGGGGGTGCTTCTGGGTGGGGTCACAGCCACAGCAGAGCCACACTCGGAAGTCTGCAAGCCATTTGCCTCCACACTGAACGGCTACAGTTCAGCTCTCACTCTGCTCATATCCCCACTTCAGATTGGCATGGGGGAGCTGGCGTGGTGCCGCACACCTGTCATCTCAGCACTCAGGAGGCTGAGACAGGAGGATTGTGAGTTCAAGGTCAGCCTAGGCTACATAGTGAGCCTCCGCCTCAAAAAAAGCAAAATAAAATAAAACAAAAATTGCCAGGGAACCCACCTGCAGCAGCTCTCCAATCTGCTGTGGACTCTGAAAGAAGGTGACGGCACCTGTTGTGATTATGTATAAAGTAAGCATTCACAGGATCTGATTCGAGGCCAGAAATCTGGTGCTCAAAAACCTCCTGGGTGTTTCTGCTGCCACTGTCCTGCAGACCACACTTTGAGAAACACGGAGGAGCATTAAGGTGTGAAAGGGAGGGGCAGAGAAGGTTCTGTGCCTGCGGCAGCATGTGCCAAGGTGAAGCCAAGGTGACACTGCTGTGGGAAAGGTGGCTCCTCGTGTGTCTGCACCAGGGGACGAACCTCAGGCCTCATGCATGTGAGGCAAGCACTCTACCACTGAGTCGCACCCCCAGGCCACATTAGAAACAAGGAAATGGGGTCTGGGGTTAAAGCGTGTGACCTGGCTGGGATCATGGCTGTTAAGTGGGGGAAGCAGTGTCCAGCCCGGGGCGTCACCTGAATCCTCTTGGATGCCCCAGTGGCGATCCTGATGCTAAAGGTTGACACATCTGGGGCCCTTCCCGCACGTTACGTCCACATGCACTGTCACTGTGACAACTCAATGAGTTGCACCCACTTCACAGATGAGGACAAAGCAGAGTTGAGAACCTGCATAACTTGCAAGAAGTTACAAAGCTGTGGGCCAGAGCCAGAGGAGTAACTGCCACACCACGCAGTCACCCTGTCCCCTCCCTCCCATGCTCTCAGAGACCAGAGGCTCTTGCCCCAGGCAGTCTTGTCCCCCAAGGGACATGGAGAAATGCTGGAGACCTTTTTGGTCATCACAGTGGGGTTGGGGTGCTACTGAGAGCTCATGGGCAGAAGCCAGGGATGCTGTGAGGACAGTCAGCTCCCAGCCCACCAAGAGAAAGAATTATCACACCCAAAGTGACAAGTGTCAATGGAGACAAACACTGGAGTGGCCTAACTTAGAACAGTGCACACACACATACACACACACACGCACTCCAGCATCCAGACCTGCACCTCCATAACCCAGGGAATGAGAAGCACCCTAAGGAAAAAAAGGGAGGAGATGGGGGGGGAGCAAAGCCCCACCCACAAATGTACCACAGTCACCATTAACGTCATATTTATTGTTATTTAGCTGCTCAGGAAAACATATACAGGTATATACAATATGCATGAATAAGGAAGACTGCACTTTACATATTTTTTTAAAAAAGAAAGAAAAAATAACACTCAATTTCATGAGCTATTGTCACAGTCTTCCAACCAAGCATTTCAGAAATGAATTTCTTTTAAGAGTCAAAAAAGATGACAGGATTGCCTAACACACAGCAGAGTTAAGTTTTCATATTTTACATGTGCAACAACATTTTAGTTTCGTTCCCGAAGAGTTCGCTATGCAGTACCGATTACCAGTGTTCGGGGTCTCGTGCGTTGGGTGTGTTTCACATTTGCTTTTATTCTTTCCATTAAACCAAATTTAATGAAATTACATCCTTTTGCTTAAGGCTATTTTAAAAGCTGTTCCATTCTGGGGTCGTGGGGAGCGAGAATGTTTAAAACTTCAGGGGTTTCCAAGATTTTGAGCTCATGGCCAAATGCTGATGGATTCAATGCTGGGAAAGTCAAAGACAGAAGTTAAGACGCTTTGCTCCCCGGCCTTAAGCAATTAAGGAGAAATCATTCCTGTTTAAAAAGGGAAAGGATGAAACTCTCAAACAGCTGTACATAGCAGAATGGGGGGTGGAGCTTTGCCCAGAATCTGGCCTATTCTCCCACAGCGCATGCAGGGGGAAGCCTATCCGTCCCTCCCCATGCCCGTGGTAGCAGGTCACAGAGACTGTGACAGCTCGAACCTTCTTGCTGTTACCTGAATGCCACCTGCTCCGTCTGCCCTCTGCAGTCGGGGTCTGCCCCTGGCCAGTCTGCCCAGCAAGAACCACAGGCAACTCAGACCTCAGCCAAAAGGGCCAGCCAAGGAAAGAGTGGGAGAGGGAGAGAGAAGAGCGAGGGTGTTCTGGACGCGGCTCTCTCTTTGCTGAAAAGTTCTTTGAAATAAACAATATGGGTGTTGCGCAGTGAGCCCCAATCCTTCAGGTCACTTTCTAAAAAAAAAATGCTGGATCTGTAAACTCTGGGGACCTGGGAGAGAGGGATGGCTCAAAATGCAGCAGTTACTGAGTCGTGCTCGGTAACTAAAACTGAAATATAATGTGAAGAGTCTCTGATCTGGATGAAGTGATGTCTGTCACTTCTCATCTGGCCCACCCAGGAAGCTACACGCCTCCACCCCCCCCACAAGTCACAAATGCCTTTTGCGTGGACATCGCCGGCACCCTGAGGTGCCCATCCCTGCCCACACTGGGCCTCCAGGGACCACGCTTATCTCTGCTTCCTCGTGAGACAGGGGACATGGCGCTAGTTTTAAAATGAGGTGAAATCAAACCGAAGGGGGGACTTTCAGGATTAAAAGTAAAAGATCCAGGAATCAAAACCATTAGTTGTATTCTCTTTCTCCCTCCTCTAGGTCTCCAGGAGTCTGCAAAGAAAACGTGAGGAAGGGGGTGCTGCAGGCTGAGCTGGGAGCCTCACCCCTCCCAGGATTGGGCTAGGGAGGGGATGAGAGAAGGGGGGGGGCTCCCCCAGCCCCCTTCTTCCCTGGAATGCAGGGCCAGGAAATAGCAAAGGCTGAGAAGGGCCGCTTCCTCCCCCTTGGGCACCCAGAGCCAGTGAACACAACAGAGCCTAAGGCCTCATGAGCTGGAAGGGTCCATCCTCTGGCTGACCAGAGCCTGCAAAGGCAGAACTGGAGCCCTGTGGAGGGAGCAAAGGAGGGAGAGAGGCCCAAAAGGAGGAGAGGAGCCCTCCCATCCGGCATCCCACCTCCTGCCTCCCTCCCAGCCTGGGTGTTTCCATGGCAGGGACAGAATGGAGCCCCAGCCTAGGCCCAGACTCTGTTTGTCAAAAAGAAAACCCTCTCTCCCTCTCTCTCTCTCTCTCTCTCTCTCTCTCTCTCATTTCCTTAAGGAATAGACAAAACAAAATCACAGGCAGAATACTTAAGAGGGGTATTAATTGTTTGGCTCCTGTCTGACTGATGACATTTGGATGTCAATATATAATATCGTGATGACAATCTGACTTTCACCCGGCAATAGTCCAGAACTACTATTCTCCAGGGTTACCATTCTCATAAGAAGTGAACAAAGCAAAGAGGAAGGGGAAAAGTAAAGAAAGGGTGAGGGCAGGGTGCTGAAAAGGAAAAAGAATAAAAGAGAATAAAAAAGGGAAGCAATTCTTTTCTTATTATGAAATACTTGGACACACAAGCAGCGTGATAATAAAACAAAGAAAGAGGTCATCTAAAAGTGTATGCCAAGATGACAGAAAAACGGGGGAGTCTCTAGCAGGAAAAAGGCTTCAGCAAAAGTTTGCTAACTGCGGAGGGTTAACACTGGTAACATACTGTGGCAGTTTCTTAAAAAAAAACTTTGAGGTTTTTTTCCCCACCCCTTTAAATTAACCCTTTCCGGTCCATGTGCCACTAAGCAGGTACCAATCTAGACCAAAGAAAAGAAAACAAGAAAGAAAGAAAAGAAAAGAAAATCATCCACTCAGCAATAGTGGCCCTTTCAAATTAACAGCGGGGTGGGGGCAGGAGGAGGGGAGGGGAGGGGGAGGAGAGGGAGGGGCTGTGGGGCGAGGGCCCTTCCTTGTCGATTCAAGTCAGGGCAGCCACGAAGGTCCCGAATCTGTTGGAGATGTCGGAGTGCAGGGACCGCCAGGCGGGCACCGAGGCACGGGCCTTGGCGTCGCCCACGTCATCGGTGCAGTGGACGGACAGGCACTGCAAGTGGCTGCCGGGCTGGGTGGCCGAGGCCTTGCTGGCCGGGAGGTCAAGGGCTGCAGAGAAAAAAGGAAGAGAAGCGTTAGCGGCAGGTTTGGCTCTGAGGGGCCTTGGTGAGGACAGAGAGGAGGAGGATGGGAGCAGAGGATGCAGGGGAGCAGAGGTGGCGCCACGCTCCCTTTTCCTGGCTACACAGATGGTCCAGCAAGGCTCTGGAGATGTTGGCTGGGAGGCCTCAGCCAACACAATCCCTCCTGCTCACTGGGTCTCAGTTTCTCCCTTGGAAAGAAGGAGAGTTGGGCAGGATAGACAGGATTCAGCCATTTCTGATGGTCTAGCATTTCCAAAAGATTGACTGGACATGAGGTAACTTAAGAAGTCTTCCAGGAAGAGGGGTGTCTAAACTGGGCCTCAAAGGGTGTGTAGGAGTTCACCGGATCCAGTGAAAGTGTGGAGGCACAGACTGTACATGTCTAGAACACAGCTCATTTTCTTATTATCTTGCAGATAGATGTTTGCTGAGGGGCTAGCTACCATGTCCTGGGAACTTCCTTAAAAGTGCCAAGCTACTCCTCTGTAGCTAAGAAAAAACTGAGAGCCAGGAGGGAAAATGAGCTGCCCCAGGTTGCACAGGAGAAAAGATGTGGTATCGTGCCCAGGGGAGCAGGCAGGATGGAAGGGGGCACCCAGGCCGGCACTGGGAGGGGCAGGCGGAGGTTTGAGGGCTGTGGTTCCCCATTTCTGGTCCCTCCTGTCCCAGCACTCTGCCCCTGGAGATTCTGCACTCCTAACTGTGCAGGGGCTGAGACTCCGGAGAGGGGTCTGGAGGGTAAAGCACGGGAAGGGAGGAGCCCAGGGGCACCTGCTTCTGGCTTTTATTCCCTCCCATCCTCTGGGCTTAGCCTTCTCATCCTGTTTCAGGGAGCAGGAGTCTGCGGCCCAGAGACCGCTGGAGTCACACAGCTCTGACCTGAGGGTGGGGACTCAAGTGCCAGCCCCACAAAGGGACCCAAGTCAGATTCCCTGCCCTGGCAGTGGAAGTGTCTGCCAGGCACACAGCGACCAGTCCAGGGCACCAGTTGACCAGGCCACTCGTGTGCACAAGGCTCTCAGCACAGAGCGAGGTGCTCGGCAGTGAAGTCAGAGTCTGAATGCCCTAACCAGAGCGGCACCAAGCCCCAGCCCCAGCGGCCAGGTGATGGGTGCTGAGGACTGGTGTGGGGGAATCTATTCCTCCTCTATAAAGAGCCCCTGGATTCCCTTCCCGCTCAGCACACAGACCCAGAAACACCATGCATCACAGCAATGTCTGTGTCTGATGCACTTGAGGGGGAAGGGGCCTGACAAACATTCATACCTGAGTGTGAACTGGGCCAGACAAGCACAAGAAGTGGGAGTTATGAGGCAGGAAAGGAATGGAGCAGTCATTTCGGAGGACTGGCTGCCAAGGGCCCACTGGTTATTTTATTATTTTCCTTTTTCAGAGAGGGCAGGTAATCCATCAGAGTTCACACGGCCAGAAAGGGCCGTTTCAAAGTGGGCTGAAGGTGAATTTCCACCTCATTAGAAATGAAACTGGGGCCGGGGGCCAAGCTTCCACAGAGGGAGCACACCCAGATACTAGACTCACACTCGCCCGCCTTGCACACAGCGAGCCCAGCAGTGCCCTGCCCACCTGCGGCCCTCCGGGAGCCGAGGCCAGGCCAGAGTCCATGACGTTGGGACCCTCCACCAGGGGCTTTGGGACCCACATGCTGGGCAGACCCAGAGCTGGGGGGGAGGGAGCCCCACTTCCTCCTGACCTTCATTTACTCGTTCATTCATAAGCCCTTAGGGAGGACCCGCAATGCGCTAGGCACAGCCTGGAGCAGATGGCTATGCCAGCGCAGTGTCACTGGGACCAGAGCACAGAGTCACCGCTCCCAGCTGTGTGTCCTCCCTGAGCCTCAGCTGTCTGGTGGGTAGAGTGGAGCCATCATGCCCCTTGCGGCCATGTCACACCCTGGACCAGCGAGGTTGCCTCACAGGATCTGGATGGTCTGGAGGCCAAGGGTCCCTGCAGCCACCTAGAAGCCCCAAAGCCCCCCTTTCTGGGAACTGAGGGGCACTTCCTGCTCATGACATCAGCGTCTCTGCCCCCTTCCACAGACAGGGAAGCTGAGGCACAGGGTGGTAGAGCCGGTTGGCAGTGGTGAAGCCACAGCCAGGGACTCCTGGGAGCAGGGGCCTTGGAAACTGGAGGCATTGAGTGCAGGGTTGCTCAGCACCCAGCAGGCCATGGATTCCAGTGATCCCAACGCAGAGCCCCCATACATGAGCCCATGCATGTCTGGCTCCCAGAAACACTCACTTGCTGAAAGCCCCAAAAGGAGTTTTATTCCAAGCACTGCAAAATCTAATTCAGGGTTGGGGATAGGATCTAGCAAAGAGAGATTCTGAAAGCGTTACACACATCGCCTCAAGGAGCCACACAGATAGCAACGCCTGTACCCACTCACCACTGAGAAAGCAGAGGCCCAGCAGGCAGAAGCCTGGACAAGACCAGGTCCAGTCCCCATGCTCTGTGGCAGAAAGCAGCCAGAAGGTGAAAGGGGCCTGAACTCCAGGACGCAGGGTTTGCTGGGTGACGCACACAGACACCAAGGGCCAAATGGCCTGAGCTGTCTCCTCCCAAGTCATGGCCCCTCCTAAGCTGCACCCCGGTCCTGGGACGGCGCTCCCGACTCGGGCTGGATTGCACAAGGTCACGCCAGTCTTGAAACCAACATCCTCATGTGTTATCTAATTCCACCCCAGCAAGCCCAGCATGCTGCTGACCCTTCTCCCCACTTTGGCAGAAGCACCTGGGGCTCAGAGAGGCTGAAGCCACCTGCAGTCTGTATCCACAGGCAATATTCTGAAGAAAGAACATTGTGCTTTAGTACTTGACAACCAAGCATGACCGAACTCATCCCCCCCTCCGACTCACCCAGCACACCCTGGAACGGTGGCTCCCTCGGGCTGCCATGCCGCTGCCAATAAATCAGGCCCACGGGAGCTGCCACAAGCCCCAGCCTGTCCCAGCCAGGGAGAGGCCGTCTGTCCCCAGGCCTCAGGGTATCGAGTGTGCCAGCCCCCGACTCCAGCACCCAGAGATAACCCTGCCCCTCACCAAGCCCAGGGGCTGGGGCCCTGGTGTTACTCAGCGCCACAGTCGCCATGGGCCATGATGTCCTCACGTCCTCCCTTGTAGGTTGCTGGCCTCTGCCAGCAGCAGACTGAGGTGGCCTGGTATACAGCAGGTGCTCAGCGGAGCTCACTTCAGTGTGCTCCCCATCCCCATCTGACAGGTGGGGAGACTGAGGCCCCCCCCAGCCAGGTCAGCCCCCTCCTTTCGGGTCAGGATGGTTCTGGATCTCCATGCCTGGACTCCCATCTGTCAAGCCTCAGTTTCCTCATCTGCAACCTGCAGCTGAGTTCCAGGAGACAGGGATTCCCAGCAGGCCTGGCTCAGAGCAGCTTGGGGCCTCATGGGAGAGAAAGAGCTACTAGGTACAATGATCCAATATCCCAAAATGGGGCGGGGTGGGGAGTGGGGGGCTGAGGCAGGGAGATCTCAAGTTTGAGGCCAGCCAGGACAATTTAGCAAGACCCTGTATCAAGACAAAAGGAAAGGGCTGGGGATGTGGCCCAACGCGAAGGCCCTGGGTTCAGTTCTCAGCACTGCAACAAAAGGAAGGGGGCAGCCAAGAGGGAGGGGGAGGAAGGGAAAGGGGGAGACTGAGCCACAGCACATGTGGGGCCAGGCCCGAGGCGGGGACATCCTGGTCTTAAAGGGCTACACAGGGGCCTGAGAGGAGGGGCCTCTGGTTCCTGGGGAGCAGGAGTGTGTGGCTGCCCACAGGAAGGACCACAGGACAGTTTCAAAGCCATCTGCTGCCCAGCACTGGCCATGATCAAGGCCAGGACTGGACACCCCTTCTGTCCTCCTCCCAAAGCCCCTTCCCAGCCTTGCCTCAGTCCACGACCCCTCGCCACTATGCTGCACCCCCTCCTGTAATGCCACAGCCCTTGACAGGGTCATTTCTGCCAGCCAACTTCGAATCACGCCACCAAGGTCAGAGCTACCTCCTGCTTCCCCACTGCCATCGAGAGGCCTGCAGCAGATTTTGTCCCATTCACCCCTCAGTCCACACGGGGACAGTGGGCTCCACGTCAGGAAGGACAGAACAGGAAGCTGGTGCCGAAAATGCAGTTGCATGGATATCTAAAGTCACTGTGTCCCTCTTACAGGGTTCGGCCAGGGCAGCAGCGGGCATCGCAGCACGGCAAAGAATTTGCGTGCACATGACTGCAGAGCTCAGAGCCTGAGTTCCAAGGAAATAATGGGACAATGGAGGTAGAGGCACAAGGAGGATCGGGACTGAGGCTTGTGGAGCACCGGGCATGTGGAGTCCGCTGTGGCAACCTGTGCAGCAGGACAGGGAGGAGGGCAGAGTGCAGCTGGGGCTGAACTGGTCAGGGATTTGGGAACAGTCAGAAACCTGCCTCCTGGCTGCTGAGAGGAAGGCCCGGGAAACGCCCGAGGCTGGGCCACTCAGATCCCCAGTGGCTCAAGGCTTGGGAGCAGCCATGGAGGCGGAACCACCACGTGCCAGCTCCTTGTCATGGGGCAGTTTCCCTGGCTGTGTGGGTGTGGGGCCTGCCCCCCAGCAGAGCAGGCGAACCAGAACTCCCAGCGTATTTTTAACTCAGAGCTTATGTAAGAGGCAGTGTGGGCCCCGGAACACAGTAGAGGTACACTCTCTGGCTCACCTGCTGGAGCCCTGCAGCTCTAATGTACTGCAGTTTCTCCTGTGCTTGGGCCCAGGAGGGGTGAGGGGAAAGATGCTGGATTCGGTGACAGCTGCCACCCTGGGGACTGCTGGGCCTGTCACTGAGGCCTGGGCCCCCTCCTCTGGGGCCTTCGTCTTACAGCCACAGACTCCTGGAACCCCCCAACACCCCAAGCCACAAGCATATCCATGACCCACGACCTTTGAAGTTCCTGCCACTTGTGTACAAGTCGTGCTGGGCC